GGTGACCAGAAAATGAGTTAATAAATCAGAAAATACTTGTCATCTGTGACAGTTAAAATTTATGTTGTTGATGTCCTGAAGCAGGGAGAGTATATACTTTGTGTATACTTGCCAACTATTACAAATTCAGCTGCCAAAGTTGATTGCATAGGTATGTAGGACTCTCCTTGTTAAGTCTGGAGAAGCTGATTTGGGTTTTTTTTTCCTGTTTCAGGTGAAGAACATTATCTACCATGCAGTGAAAGATGCTGTTGGCACACTGAAAGCTCATGAATCCAAACTAGCTAGATCGTAGGAATTGCTAATTCCAAATGCCCTGTCAAAGTAAGCCTTTTGCTCACGGTATCTACAGGGACTGCACACGACTGCCTCTGCAGGAGCAGAGGCTTCTCACTGAGAGCTGGTGTGGTCAGTATTACACACACTCTTCAGCCACTGTTTCCTACGCTGCCTCAACACTGAAGGTCTAACGGAGGGTCGCACTGTTAACATGCAGAATTCCAGATTCTAAAAAGGTGCCATGTCCCTTTCCTGTGGCCTTTTGCAAATTGGGAGAACATGGAAAACCACTTGGGTGTTCCGGCATATTATGATTAGAAATGGTATAAAGAGTGTGGATGTTTTTTCCCTCATGCCTAGTTAGTCTCCACAAAGTTAGACGGAACGTGCTGGAGGTGGGTTGTCCTGCTGCAGACTTAGTTTAGCTGCTGAAAGTGTGACCAACAGCAGCCCAGCTGCAGAAATTCAAGCAAACTTCCCATGTGAGATACAGGCCAAGGAAAAGGATAAAGCTATTCTCTGCACTCCCCTTCTTGTAGCCGTTTCTCTATACACTGTAGAGTTGCAGAACTAAAGGGAGAACCCACTTTTTTTTCCCCCTGGGAGACTCCAGAGATAAGAGAATTGTGTATTTAGTGAAAAAATAGGTTTGTAGTGAAACAGTTAATATTTCATGAAAGTAGATATTTTTAGTATTTTTGAAGTACCACAATTGTTCCTGGATTTTCAAGGAAAGGCGCATTACATTTAGTCTTCCTTTCAATAAAATCAAGAAGTGATTTTTAGAAAGCAGTCCAAAATAGCACAAAAACAGCCAAAGGAGAATTGAATAGAAATTGACATCCCACCTCCCTTGCCCATATTACCTCACCTGTCTTCCCCCCTCTCTCTATGCCACCCTGCTTCCTCAGAATGAGAAGTAAAAAGGAGTATAAACTCTGTTCTCATGTGGAGATGTTGTACATCTCTCCCTGCACTGGTGACTGCAGGCAATAGTTCACCCAATACCAGTGCTAGCTGAAAACATCTATCCTTTCCAAAGTGAAGGAAAAGTTAACTTTCAGTGTCAACTTTGTCCAGAACTATTTTAAGTAAAATGTTCCTGCTTGATAGAACTGTATTCAGAATTTACTAATGTCAGCATTGATGCAATGGATTTCATTGTCTGGGTACATGGGGAAATGTATCGACCTTATCTCCAGCTGTACTGTAGTGCCACTTGCAGGCCTGTTAATATGTTCACGGTTATTTCATTTTTTAAAAAATAAAAGTCATTTACTGTAACAGCCTGGACAGTTTCTTTCATGCTTGTGCACAGATCTTCCTGCTTCGAGGTTTTCTCAGCCTCAGCCCCTGGCAGTGTGGGCTGCCTGCTAATTCCGTGCCCTATGTCTGACCAGAAAGCTCGGGTGGTTTAGCCTGGCATCCCAAGTACTAGCTGGGAGCACACCCAGCTGCCTTGCAGACCCTTCATTCTTAGAGGTGGTTTGGGTAGAGGATCTGTCTGGTCATAAAAAACGTCTCTTGTGTTGTGCTCCCCACCTCTCAGTACCTTCCTAAGAGGTTGGGGTCCAGAGCTGCCCTCTCCACTGGAGATATGGACGGAGTGGTAAAGGTTCTCTGGTTTCTGACCTTGGAGGTTGTGATGGCAGCAGCAGTTCTGGTCACTGACATGTGGCATTGCTGGCAGCTTCTCAGGTTGGTTACTGGCTGCAGAGTCAACTCACAGGCTTTTGCTGCCTCATACCCTTGCAGCTATGCTGTGACTGTGGGCTAATTCAGTCTGCTAGAGGTAAAACGGGTTATTCCAGACCCATGAACCATTCAACCCCACCATATCCTGTTGTGTAGAATTTTTTGTGCAATTCTGTTGTACTCTGTGCATGCAGAGTGATTACAGCTGTTTCCCTCATTTGTGTGTGTGTGTATCAGCATTAAAATTGGATAAAGACAAAAAAGGCAGAGCCTTGGCAATGTGTAATGCAGTAGCATCAGCAATTTCCAATACAGTTGCTGCATTTCTTAATAATGCTAAGCATTAAGATCTCCAGTAGACATGACTGTACTATCTTCCCTGAGTAGTGACAGCTAATCTGGGGCCTGTCATATACACCTGTATGGGCATGTGTTATGATTCTCTCTTACCAGAGTTTGCATGATGGGGCAGTGGAAGCACTCTCCCTCCAGCACCCACTACAAACTACTTCTGACATATTTCATATACAGCTTACACCACAAGTCCCCAGCCAAAGTGATTATAAAATTGACTAAGATGTATATAATCAGTAGGGGTTTTTTGCCTTATTGTTTAGCCATAATGATAGATATTTGGTCACCTGTTTGGACCATTTGTAGAACACAAATTCATCATGAGTTATTCCAGCAGTAGCATATCTGCTAAAAAAACATACCGTTTGAAAGAAATTTGCCTTCATTTGAAAACAATTGATAAATTGCTTTCCTGGGTAAATCTTAAGATCTCAATTACACAGCATTATACAGTATTGCTAAGAAATTAATAAAAATACTACCAATAAATCAATCTATTTTCATTGGACTTGCAGCTGACTTTTGTTCCAAAAATAGCCCTTAAAAACCAGTAGTTTCTCCTTGTGAAAAGGTAAGTTGATGAATTAATTTTTCATTCTTCTCTGTGATGTGGAAAGAAATTGAGCTACTTTCTGCTAAATGTAAATTGCTAGCTTAAAATACTTTTCCTGAACTTGTTCTAAAGCTACTTAACAGTGAGCTACCACCTACGACATTTGCAAGACCACCTGCTCTGCTGATGTTGAGATGGTTGTTCTTGCCACCATTTATGTCTAATGCACTGTAAATTTTTATATTACTCCTTGGCACATTAAACAGCTTAAAACACTAAGGCACATTTTATTTAGGTGCCACTTACCCGTGCTGCAGTTATTTAGTGCTCCCACACTGTTCACACGTTGTACTCAGCAGATCTCTGCATTTTCTCTCTTCTGTTTGCATCTTTCACTCACCCAGTGAACACATTATTCAAGTACCAGAGCTGTTGCCATGCTGGTCACTGATATGAAACTGCTGCAGTTAAAAACAAAATTACTTTGTTGAAGGTTTTGCGTGTTGGTGTTGCTTGGATGTCTGAAAGCAGATCCCTTTTATCTAATTAGTAGGTCAGTTATCCCATGAGTGGTGTGAATTGTGCAGTCACTTATGCAATCATTTTGTGGCCCATTCATATCCAAAAGCAGACACTGACAAAATGTTCTTTGTCACTGCCTGTGGAGACGCGTTCACAACACTTGCATGTAACGGAAAGTTGCTAATGTTTTGTGTTTTTCATCATTGCTCATTATACTAAAGTTCATGCATTCATGAGAAAATTCTTCCCTAGGAGCTCTTTGTTTTTGCTCTCTTTGGGCTCATTCCTTTTCATAAAGGCTATTTGGCAAGTAATGACACTTTGCCATAGTGCCTTGCTTCAGCGTTGGGTTTTTTTGGTCAGCTGAAGAAACACAGTAGATTTCTAACATTTTTTTTCCCTTTTAAATTAAAACGCCACTTATGTAATGGTCATACATTGTAATTGGTCATACAGTGTAATTCACAGATCTATGTACTGAGCCTAATCAATCCTTGACTGTAATGTTCATCCAGGCTCCCGGGGGCCCAGTAATGAACTCTGGCACTGACTGAGGAGGAGGATTCTCCTAACAGTATTCCTTGGAGAGCTGTTAAAATACAGCAATTTTTGGGACTCCAGTATGCTTAACCATACACATTCCCACCCTGCACCAAGCATATTCCCCACAGACACACACTGTTCAGCCTTCTTTGTATAGTGAACTAAGTAATCCTCGGCATCTCAATTGAAATTTCGAGGAAGAGCATCTAGCAACACTGAAATTTACCCTGGAAACTACAAGTAACAGCCTTCATCCTTCTGGTTTGATAACGCAAACATCAGTATCGGCAAGTCAAGTTTTGGTTTGCATCTGGTTCTGGGTGACACTGGGAGCCGTGGGACTCTAAAATGCTTTTAACCCTTAACTCCGCTGTTTGCAGCATTTACCAGCTGCTGCCTCGACCTCCCCGGAGGAGGCCACTGCATGGAAAATGGCTTCTTCTGCCTGTTACTCCTCTGCCTTCCCAAGTGCCCGTGATCTCAAGTCAGCGATTTTCCCCCGTAATTCTCCTCTGCCACCGTCCCTGCCGGGGGCTGCGGGTTTCCCCCCGGCCGGGGCACCGCGTCCCCCGCAGCGGCGGATGCTCGGGGCGCTGCGGCCTCTCCCTGCGCCGCTCGGCTCCTCCCTCCGATCCGAGCACCGGGGCGGGGCTGCGCTTGCTGCAGGAACCTGCCCTGGAAGAGCTCTCACGCTCGGCGCGTCCGAGCCGCGCCCGGAGCCGCGCCGCATGGTGTCCTGGATAATCATCTGCCCGCTCTGTGTGGTGAGTGTCGGCGGGGGGCCGAGCGCGGCTGCCCGCGGGGCCGGAGACGGGGTGGGTGGGGGTGCGGCGGAGGGCGGCTGCGATAGGGAGGGCGATGAGCCCGCGGACCGGCCGCGCCCGCGCCCGGAGCGGCTCTCCGCTCCTCCCGGCTCTCCCCGGCTCGTCCCGGTACTCCCGGCTCGCCGGGGCAGCGCCGGCCGCGGGGGGTGCGGGCGGGGCGGGGCGGGTCGCTGAGCGGTCCGTTCTTGCCCGAGGATGCATCTATCGCACCCTCATTACGCGTACTCGTCCTACAGGAGATGAAGACGAAAAACGTGAAGGAATATGTGAGTGACGGGACTCGCAGGTGCGGCGCAGCGCCGCCCCGTCACCCGCAGAGCCTGTCCCGCCTGACCACCGCTGGCTTCGGCTCAGCCCCGGCCCCGCTCGGCTCAGCTCGGCTCAGCCCCGGCCCCGGCCCGCTCCGGAGAAGCTGCCGAGGAAAGGGCGCTCACTGAAATGGGAGGTTCCAAACCATAAACCTGGGCTGCTTTTTCTCAGGAGATGCTGAGTGAGGAAGGGAAAGCGGGGCAAACGCTGCAGTCTGGAAGCATATGAAAGTCCAGGACAAGTTCTTTCTTGTAACTTTATCCTTACTCTGTGTCCTTTACAGCTTTTTCGGTGCTACTTTAGTTTTCTTCCAAAGGGCTGAGTAATCTTGCTTGGTTTGTGGCTTCCTGTCAACTTTGGTTGTGATCAGTGTTTTCTGTTGGTCAAGATTTCATCCTCTTTCCCTCCTGGAATCGTTTCCCCCTGTCTGTCTACACCATCATTACAATTACCATATTTTAAACACCAAGAGTTTTCTTGTGATGTGGTGTGTCATCCTCTTACAGAAGGGGTGTTCTAAGGTGATCAGCAGAGACAAGAGCTATTTGTCTTATGGGTGGGATGAGTTTCCGTTCATCTAGACCAAGGAATAACGTGAAGAAGAAGTACCATGAGTGAATAGGATAGAATTTGTCAGTATTGCTTTGTGGTACAGTCTGAGACTTCATTCAGCAGTCTCTGTTTGCTCCTTACAGAATGACATGTCAGCAATAAATATTGCAGGATATAGCCCTGTTCTGGCTCACGCTGCTCCAGCCCTCTGGAACTGACTAGACCTTTCCTGGGCATTGGCTTAAAACTCAGCCCAGAGGTTTTTAAGCAGATATGGATTGAGCTGAGAATCTCACTCACAGTGGGCACCTTTACAAACTACAGCCTCTGGCTCAGGTGTTTGGCTTTGGATTTTGTTTCAATACTGGTCTCAGCAAAGGAGTTGAAATGTGAATGTTCTGGAGGCATTGATAACTGATAAATTGTATTTACAGTATTAGAGACACAGTATTAGAGATACAGTCAGTAATATGATGAGCCTTTCTAAACTTTAAAGTTTATTAGTAGTAGCATTAGAAAGGGGAAACAAAGAAACTCAATGAATAATCATGTGATCCTATGACTTCATAGTTACCTTTGAGGTTACATATTAAGTGCTATCCTATTACTATTGTCTTCTCTGGCATTCCTGACTTCCTTCCAGTTGCCAGTGACCTTCATTTGTTGTGTGAAATGTGTATTTTTACCCAGAATTTTATTCTGGCTCACAGGTGTCTGTAACAGAATGATTGTATTCCAGTTACAGAATCTGAACTTGAAGACAGACTCGGAGTTTTAAATCATTTTATTAAGAACTTGATGGGGGAAAAAAACCCTCAAACCCTCATTTTTTTAAAAGCAACTGGCATTCTTTACAATAAAACCCTGCTTATTTTCTGTGAGTAGGTGCTGTTGAGGTACATAAACGCTTTAATTCTTTGCAGAATGTAAATGTTGTCTTGATCTGATTTTCTTTTGGTAAGTGTTACCTAAGCAGCTCCAAGACTGCCTTAATCTGATAGTGAAAAATCATAGCATCACAGAATGGTTTGGGTTGGAAGGGACCTTAAAGCTCATCTATTCCAAACCCCTACATCAGAAATAGGCATTTAGATGTTTTTGCCATCTGCCTTATTCACTTACCTTTGAAGGGTTTCTTCCTTCTGAACATAAGTGGAAAGATGGGGGAAAAACATTTATGTTAAGTGTGGGAAAAGGGGCTGCTGTCTGTTCAAACTGTTCTTCATGTGAAAAGTCAGCAGACAACTTGAATGCTGTGCAGCCCATTTTCCAAGCCAGCTGTTCCCATGTACAGCTGCTTGCTCACAGTGCTTGAGAACCAAAGTTCAGGGTTTGGTGGTGGAGAAAGGTCTCACAGGGGTGTCTGTGCTGTAGTGGGGTATTGAAGCTTCAGTTGGCACAGACCAAGCTACCACCAGCAGTCCTTCAGTGCAAACTTAGTGTTCTCCACCACCATGGTATGAATTTATGCTAAGTCCTTGAGCAGTTGTGGCAAACTGCTTCTTGTAGCTCAGAGTTTTTTCTTTTTCAGCTTTGGTCAAGTGTACATTGGAATTGTGCTTTTGCATTTGCTAAATTTATTTAGGTTCTTGGTGCAGGTGGGGGAGACAGTGTATGTGCAGCTAGCTGAAGTTAGTGACCATCAGCTTGAGCAGCAAAGACCTGACTCTTTTTAGTGGCTTAAAAAAAAATAGCCTGGTTTAAGCTTCGGTTTTGGAAGGTCTTTGTCATAAGAAAAAATTCATGTTTCTTCCCCTGTGCTTTTTGCTCTTCTAGTTTCTGGTCATCTGCACTTCAGGGACTTCTAGAACTAGAAGTTGGATCCTTCTAGTTTATTTAAGGGCTGTATTTCTTTTTGTCTTTGGCAGTAGAGCATAGGGTGAGCAGGAGGAGACAGAAGGCAAGAGACCTGTGTCCAGTATCAAAGATGCAAACATGCAGTTTATTTAAACAGTACAAAGCAATGTTTTCTGTTCTCAGTGCATCATGTAATACTCCAGAGCATTCTGTTAAAAAGTCTAATGAGCACTGAGCTTATGGTTTCATCTGGCTGCCTACAGTGACCCCTCCTGAGTGACATCAGCTAATTTATGTAACCACAGTAGTTTTCACTAAGAAAAAGCAGATGCTGTAAGTTCACTGCTTTGTATTTAATCAAATTTAGAGACAAAATATCAACTGGAGATCAATCAGGATCCTTTTCTGAATTCTTTAATCACCTCATACCTAATCTCTTGGATAGAAAAGTGTCTCCTGCACAGTTTGTCATCTTATTATTCACAACCTTTTCCAGATCTTTCATGAAGATGAGCACCACAGATCTCAGCACTGGTTCCTGTGGGATTCCACTGGTAACTTTCCTCATTGTGAAAAGTGGCCATTTATTTTTATCCTTTGTTTCCTCTCTTTTAACCAACTGTTAATCCTCAAGAGTCCCTTCCTTTTTATCCTTGACAATTTCGTTTTCTTTAAGTGTTTATTTAGACCTGTTAGAAACTATTTAGAAACTCCATACACCCTGCCTGTAAGGGAAGCACTACAGCAAGAGTTTATGGAAACATAGGAATTCTGCTACAATTGTGAATTTATTTTAAAAAAACCCAAACATATTCCTTATTTTGTTACATATATATTATATCTGCTAATTGCTTTTATTATTATTAATATTGCCTTCATTTTGCCTAATGCTGATGTAAGGTTTACTGGTATGTGGCTTCTCTGAAATCTCTCACCCTTTGGGATCCCTTTTTTCAAACTTTGGTTTATCCTTATTCACACACTTTTTCAAACAAGAGCTGATTTATGTTGCTGTGCTGAAGAATTAACCATTTATTTCGTAGAGTTGCTTTAGATCAACTGAATGACACCTGGTCCTGTCCAAAGTGATGATACAAGGGAAAAAAAAGGCAGGAGAGAGCCATACAGTACAAGTTTTGTTACTTTCTGTTGTGGAAAAAAAAAATCACGATAAAGTGGAAACAATTTGGATTACTAACCACTATCTTCTAACCCATCCACTATGTTAGAGGGGCTGGAGGCAGATTGATTTTACTTTTCTGAGAAAGTTCTGGGGGGTCTTTCAAGAACAAATCATGGAATTTTCCAACACATGCAAGTTTGGGGGAATACCTGCTTTTATATCATTTGCTGTAACAAAAATTGTCAACATGTCATTATTACATGAATGTGACTGTTCATGTAATTTTAATATACGGATTAATGTGTGGATTTGATATGAGGAATTTCCCTGATTCGGTTTGGTTCTTCTTTCCCATTCTTGATGACATTAAGAAATTTTTAATTGCTTTTAGTAAAGGTGTCCTTTGCATTTATCCACTACTCACATTTATTTCTAATTCTCAACAGCAGAGAAAACTGATAATTTCTCTTACGAGAGAGCAGTTTCTATAATTCAGCTGATTCTTCCTTAGGAATAATTGGCCTGTAATGGAGAAACCTGTTACTAGAACAGGTGTTTGTTAGGAGGGAATTATTTTATGCTTTGAAAGAAACACTGCTCCAGATAAAGGTGTGAGGAAAGAGGGAGACAGACAATAGGCATATGCAGATGTGCCATAATAGCACAAAGTACTTTTTATATATAGATACTCAAAACCTTAAATAAGAAGATGAGGTTGATGGGGCATGTTCTTTGCTCTTTTACCTTTCTCAGTGAGCCTTTATCTACAAAGAAAGAACTGCTTGTATAATTTCTGGGAGTAGTGATTAAGGCAAAGCATTAATAATGGGTTAGAGCAAAATAATATATTTGTTGGTTTGTTGTTTTTCTTCTTTTTCCCAAGGAAAAACCTTTACATCAGGAAAATATAGGGCTCCAGTTGAAACTTAAACTTTTACATATATGTGTGTATATATATATTTATTACAATATTCATGATATATAAAAGAGTGTAACTTCTTAAAGTGAACTGATTAGTCTTTCTGGCTCATTTGGGACCTTAACACTGTTGCATCATAATGTTGTTCATCAGTGTATCTGTATGCATTTATCTTTTTAAAGCACATTAATCCTACATGTTTTCCCAGACTATAATGTACCATTTAGTATATGACCCTCTCCATTACTGATTGTCTATCCTCCTTCTTATTGAACTCATCCTAATGTGTGGAGTTGATGAGTCATTTATGCTGAGAAGACATGTCACTTTTTTCCTGGGTCTGATGGATGTCTGTTGAGTGACTGCTCTTTTGCAGGTGAAGTGGATGATGTACTGGATCGTGTTTGCCTTTTTCACCACTGCAGAAACACTCACAGACATTGTTCTCTCTTGGTGAGTTCCTTGTTGGGATCTTTTTCTGTTGTTGTGGTGGTGGTTTTGTTTTGGTTTGGTTTTTTTAAGGAGGGAGAAGTGTTAGGATGCAATGAATAAACTGTCTCTCCTTTAGGAGTTTTCAATCCCTATGAAGAGTCAGCAGATTTGTAGTTATTGTGGGTAGTAGCTGCTGCCTTAGCTGTTTCATCTCCTATCCTTGCAAAGTTAGGGTAAATGCACCATATCTGTAAGAGGATCTTTATCCATTCATAACATGAAAGATTTTTGAGAAGCTGTTAATGTGAACTGGTAAAGTTTGAAAAATGGTGGTCTGAAAGACACTCCAAAAAAAAAAAGATGGTAGAAGGAAGGGACCTGTTTTGCTTTGACAGCCTGTTGTGTGGAGGAACAGATCACATGCACAAGTGGATTGCATGAAGCAGGCTCCTGCTCCTTTCAGTGCTCTGTGTCATGCTTGGCCATGTGGAGGCCTCCAAAAATGACAAATAATTGTCACAGAGCTTCAGCTGAACCTTTGGAACAGGATGCCTTCAGTTTCTTCATTGCTTCAGTGTTTAGGCTTTGCATAGATATCTGAAACAATATTAGTCAGGAGTTTCATCTTTTAAACAATCATGAAATGGCTACTCTTGCCTTACAGAAGTGCTCAGTGGTTTTGCTTCTTCCTGCATGAACTCTGAAAAGCAGACAAAGATCTAAAAAGTACAAGAGCTTTATTTTGTTCACATACCTAAAATGAACCTCTGAAAACAGAAGTTTCTTATACTAGTAGAGTCAGTAGAGGGTTTGCATTCGCTTGTTTCAATCTCTGCTGTTGTATCTTCCCAGAGAGTTTTCTGGGTAAGGGTTAGAGATAAAAGACTTATATCCTGCCTGCTCTTTTTCATTTACTCTGTCTCTTGTGTCTTATCTGAGGAATACCTACAGGAAGTTTCAGAAACAGCTATCAGCCTTAGCAGGAACATGACATTATAAGATATGTAGTTGAAAATTTTGGAAAATGAGAAGGGAAGCTAATGTAATATTAACATCCACTGGATACTCTCTGAACAAACTTCAGAATGATGAGAGTAGCTATCAGATTGTAATTTGGTGTGTTTGCAGGGCTGAGAGATGCCCTGTTTATGGAGTTTTCATGGCTATGGATGAAAGACTAAATGAGACTCGAAGAAGGTATGTCCTAGGATTCTAAAGAGGGTTCTGCTTTTCTGACCTGATTAATCAATTCTCTTGTTTCTGAGCCTTTATCTTGCCTGCACTCTTTCTGCCTATGCTGCTCTCTACCAGTTATCTCCATCTGTCTCTGTGCTGATCTTGATTCCAGTTCTCCATCTTTCTCTCTCTCCTTCTTTTTTTTTTTTTCTTTCCTCTTTCTCTCAGGTTTCCCTTTTATTTCGAGCTGAAAATCGCATTTGTGATTTGGCTGCTCTCCCCTTACACCAAGGGCTCCAGTGTCCTCTACAGGAAGTTTGTGCACCCAACGCTCTCCAATAAGGAGAAGGTACTTGCTTGTTGTTAGAAGATACTGACCTGTCTGGGAGCTGACTGACCTCTGATTCAGTTAGGCCACAATAAGAACTGAAATGTGTGAATCATGCTTGTGCTGACACTAGTGGATGTAGAGTGGTTCTGTCTCTGACAACGATGTCATACTGCAGCTTACTGGAGATTGTAATGTAGCCAGTAGTTTGCCTAAAGCTTAGCAAGCATGTTTGGCTAACCCAGTGTCATGAGCTCTTACAGTCACTGTCAGTAGTTAAGCTTTTTGAATCGTGATAGGAGCAGCATGTTCTGTAGCCCATCTGTTTTTTCATTGTCAGTGTAAGCGACTGCTTTGTTTCGGTTGTGATAATTTGGAAATAATTTATGTAATTAAAAGTTGCATTTACAAGCTTTCTGTAAGTAGCAGGGAAACTCCTGTTGTGTGATCCATAACAGCTGATGGTGGTAGCCTGGGAAAAAAGTGTCCAGCTGAGCTTTGCATTTTTAAGGGTGTTGATGGGGAGACTTTGATCATGTTTATAACGAGGAGCTGAATGCCATGTTCCACATTGCCTTCCTAGGAGATTGATGAATACATTACTCAGGCTTGTGACAAGAGCTATGAAACCATGATGCGAGTTGGCAAGAGGGGGTTAAACCTTGCTGCCAATGCAGCAGTTACTGCAGCTGCAAAGGTAATCCAACACCTTCTGTAACATTCTGGAATTCCTGAATGGTTAGTGTTGTGTGCTGTGTTAGGGATACTCCCACTTGTTTGGCACCAGTCTACTTTTCCTTTCCTCCAGTTTGCCTTGCAGTTAATCCCATCTTTTGACATAGAAAAAGAGGAGGGGGAGTGGAGTGGGTTTTGCTTTAACCACTTCATTGTTGGGCTTGGGAGCACACTTTTCTTTTCCCTTCTCGTTTTTTTTCCAGAGTGCCCTAGTGGGGAATAGGACACCTTTCCTCCTCTTCTGAATGAATGATCCCACGTGACATGATCTTGGTGAAGAGCCCTTCACCCTAATTTTTGTGTCCCCCTAGGGCCAGGGAGTTTTGTCTGAGAAGCTTCGGAGTTTCAGCATGCAGGACCTCACTCTGATCCGGGATGAGGACACCGTGCACATGCGGAGCCGCGATCCGCAGCTGCATTCCTCTGGTGGGAGTCTGCTGGAAACCATCGAGGACTCAGGTACAGAGCCCTGCTGGGCATTGTATGGTGAGCCAGGAGGGGTTCCCTGCACTTGCCATGCCTTGGGTCTCAGAAGGAGTACAGGATTGCTGCTGTCTGGGAGAAGATGCATTGCCTCCCACAGAGCCTGCCCTTTGCCATGCTTCTCTGTACTTTTGGATTATCCTTTGAGATTGTTGGCATTTCCCTTCCATGTGGTCCTTCAGGAGGGGTCATTTTAGGCTTTGCTAAAACTTTCTCTCTTGTTCCTTAGCTTCCTGTTACTCCTCAGGAGAGGAGAGCAGTGTGGCACATAGGTCTAATGGAACCCCATCAGAGCCTAGAACAGACCCATCAGATGAAGATGCAGGAGACAAACTTCCTAAACGTACCCAGAGTCTCAAAGCTCCTAAAAAGGTGACAAAAACTGAGGTGAGCTGGTGTATAGATTATTTCCAGCACAGACATTGATTTGTGAGCTTTGTTGGAGGACTCTAGCTTGACAGCTCAGCACATTTAAAAGCTGTATATATAAATTTTGTTGGACTGTCTTTGCTAGTTGAATCAGGGAACTCATCTGCTTGCCATACTGTCTTTAGCTTTTGCATTTTTAGCATGCCTGGAAGCCTCTGTCATAAGCCAGGACCCAGCTTCTCTTTTATTTGGGTTTTGTGTTGAAGGGTGGAGCATTAAATATTTTTAACGTCTTGTTGACTGTATCCTCACTCCTGTCTGTTACAGTCTGATGGTGTAATGGTACTGTGGCATTTATCTGTGGGGCAGCCACTTTCCACTAACCTAAAATGCAGCAGTTCTGTGCCCTCCTAGGCCTCCCTCAACTTCACAGAGTAGATCTGGGGAAATCACCACCACTCCCCACCTGCCCCACTCCTCCTCTCCCCCCAGTTGTCCCCAAGAGTCATTTAAACTTAGCAATCTTTTTATCCAGCTGTTGGCGTGTTTTATAGAATATGCTTTTTGAGGTGCTGCTTTCCAGGCTTTGACTCAAACATTTCTTATGGTTTGGTTTGTATGTGATAAAAATGGCTCTCCCTTTTTGTGAAGTGGCTTGATTCAACTTGGTCTAAAAATTTTATTATTTTTATCTAAGATAAAGAGTGCTGTATAACTGGCTCACATTGTTGAGCTATTCAGGCTAAATATTAAATAATTTGGAGGAAGGTAATTGCTTAGAGCATCATTTTAGGTCGTGCTGTTAACCTGATTTTGCAGTGTACAGGACACCTTTGCATGTGCTTAAGTACTCTTTGTATTGAGAGTATTCAGAATAATTGAGGTTGGAGGGGATCTCTGAATTCATCTGGTCCAACCCCACTCCTCAAGCAAGGACCAGGTCCAGTTGGCTTTTGATTATCTCCCAGGATGGACATCTTTGTCTAAAGATGCATTTTAAATTACCTGGATCTTTTTCAAGTTCTTATGGCTTTTTTCTGAGGTGACCCCTCTGCTTTTTTCTCTAGCATATTAGACAGGAGCAGGGAAACAAGAGAATCAAAATTGGATTCCAAGCTTCCTAGTGAGGAATTTTTAAAGTGAAACTGTGAAAAGACAAAACCAACTCTTTTATGCTGTTTATTGTGAATACAGAAATACTGATAAAGCCCTTTGTAGGCATATTGGTTTTTATGCTCAGACTGTTGGTTCTCTGGTTCAGATGTAGGATTTGTAGGAGGCCTTTGACTGAGACCTCTGAGTTGCCTGCCAGGGCTGAATGCATCATAGCTGAAAAAATGTGCTCTTCTAACCCATATCCAGAATGACAGACACAGGAGTAAAGCATGCAGGATAGCTCAGGATGTTTCTACAGCTTTCAGAGAACTGCATTGGTGATGGAAGTCAAGAAGCAGAAAAGTTGCAACAGTGAAGTGTTACATGAATGTTACCAGTTAGAAATATTGTTGTGTCTGACCCTCTGTTGAGACAACTTCGATTTTGTTACTGTAGTTGTCCTGTTTTAGAATGTCTTCTCCTGTTTACTGTTTGATGGATGTGTTGAGAGTGATTTGTTTAATAAATAACCAAGAAAAAGAAAGAATGTTTAAATAGCCTTTTGAGACAACAGAAGACATGAACAGGGTCATCTTGCTGTAGTTGTTTTGTTCTATTTCCACTCCTCATTCTTTCACCTTTCTGTCAGACATTTAGATGTTAAAGTAAACTAGTCTAAGATGCCTCTTTTTCTTTCTCCCCAGCTTCCAGTAAGGAGTGTAAAAGCCCGGCCCAAGAAGAAAGCTGCTGGCTCTCTTGCCTCTGGCGAGTCATCCTAAGGCGACCTCCCCCTCCCCAGCACCTGTCTCTGTCCCGGGATTTTCGCTTTTGAGGGGAAACTCTCCAAAGGAAGGGAGCTGAGATTCTTGTACATAACAGATACTGCTTTGTAGAGCTCATTCCAAGGCAAGGGGGAGGCTGGGATTCAGAAAATGGAGTAGAGGATACACATCCTCAGGAATTTTCTCCTTTTCATCCCTCTGTTGGAGGGAATGCTGATATGTCTGTACATAGCCAGTTGCTTTGGAATTCCCACTGTATAACCCTAGTTGAGAATCTTTGCTGCAAGAACTGACTAGGGTTTGAGACATCCATTGCACAGAAACTGGAAAAATACTAGACACTGGAGTTCCACAGGGGTGGGTGGCTCCCAAAAATGTCTTATCTTGCTCTGGGTATCCTTCTGCAGCTGTGTGTTGTTAAGAAGTGCCCACCATGAGTCATATTCCGTAAGAATGGACCGTACCTGACATGTCCATCCCCTCTGAGAAGGTGACTGAAATGATGTGTGCTGGGTGCTTTTGAACATAAAGGTCTAGCTCATGGGAGGAAAATGCTAGATTCCCATTACTCGTCCTGGAAGATGAAGAGATTGGGTTTTATTTTATTTTTTCTGGGAGGTGAAGGTAGATAATTGAAAAACTGAGTAATGAAGAAAATGTGCTGTCACCATGCACATTGTATGATGGAGTAGATACAGGTATCTCTAAGAGTTAACTGTTGAGAAGGAAAGTTTGGCATCTGTAAGATTTTGGCTCTTTTTGAAGCTGCTTGAATTTTATTTCAGGTTCTGGTGCCCACTTTGATTCCTGTGGGAGCATCAGAATGAGGCGAGTCCCATGCAGTTCCATGGCAAGGGTACTTGCTTTGCCATTTAGGGGTTGAACTCCACGTCATCCTGATTTTGTTACTGCAGACAAATTCTTTTATTCTACCACATGACTGGGGAAAGTCTGTGGGCATACTTGAGAATTTCAGAAGCCCTTACCTCTCAGCTGTAGGAGATTCAATCCTCAGGGCACAAGAACTGATAAACAGTTGATGTATGAATTTTGCTAACTCCAGGATTTCATGTATGGGGGATAAAAAGCAGGGAGTAGGGCACAATGCTGTGATTAATCAGTCCTCTTGCTTGATCCTACTGCAGCCCTTGCACACATTTTCTGTCAGACCATGTGCCATGTTTATCAGTGTCCTGAGACTTGAGCAATATATAACACTTGGGACAGAAGACTACACTGAATGTAGAATATGTATTGTGGGAGTGAAATTGCAGTGCTGCAGAGAAAAATCACATCATGCCAAGCCATACTAATCTCTTGAACATTGTTGAGGGGAGATCCCCTGCACACTTGCCAACTGAGTCAGTCGGAATTTATGAGATGAATAAGGTTCCTGTTGCTGAGATCTGTAATTACAGATGTGGTTGTCTGAATGCAAACTTGATGGTCTTAATTTTTACTGAAACTAGTTATCAAAGGAGCCTGGCTCTTACTTCCCTACTGAAGACCATTCCCAGCTCTAGCTGCAGGTGTTTGTCTGCCCACATCTTTTGCTGTCCAATTTCTGAAATTACAGTGAATTCACAGAGCCCAGTATTTTGCTGTTGACAAGGTATAGAAGCACTTCTGCAACTAAAGTTCCACAAGTATTTCTGTCCTACAGGACAGCCCTTCAAAAGTTTATAAAGTTGAAGATCAGGACTGAATTTTTTTTCTTGTTTCCCATTGTCTTGGTGGCAAATTGTTTGCTGTTGAATTAACCAGTTATTTTAGGAAACCAATGAAGTTGGTTTTACTTTTATTTATAGCTTTTAAAAGTTGAAATTTTGACAGACCGTGTCAGAAACTTGCGTCTTGTCAGAAATATTTGTCCCAAGTTATCCACAAGGCCTTATCCAGAAGCCAATAGAAAATCCTTGATTTGGCTTTGAGTTTTGAGTTTCACCAAAAAAAAAAAAAAGAAAACAATTATTTTGTTCTTTTTAGTTTATTAGCAAACTTTGTGTTCCTGTCTCACTAGCACATGCAAGTGCATGTCCTTGAAGCAGGAATACTTTCTGTTTCCACAGGAAATTCCTCTCTCCAGACAAGGGATAAAAATCTTCCATTATTATGGGGAAGATTCAGTTGTGAGGAAATGCTGTCCTAGACTTTACTATACTGAGCAAGAGAGAACCATTATTCTCTATATACCAAGTATCTCTATGACCATGTTTCTTGATTTATTTTTTTTTTCTTTAGCTAAAATTTTCCATAGCAAATTATTTATGTAAGTCCTTGTGAGGGACTTCATTTGGAAGCCAAGTCCCCCCTTATGTTGATCTTCATGCCCTTTCCTTGTGCCTGTGTTGTGACAGTCTGATTACTAGGTTTCCATAGGGTGACTTTTCCAGAGTGTTCTCCAGAATCAGTTCATTTATAGTGGCTCTTCTGCTTTGAAGCACAGGAAGAATTTTCTGAAGATCGTTTTGGCATTTGGATTTATTTTTGTCTTCCTGAGCTGGGTCCTGTGCTAAGTAGCTTTTACTTAGCGTTGGTGCTTGATGTCATTAGCTCGTGGGTAAGTATGGGTCAGTTTTACTCTGACTTTTGTTTATACAGGGGATTTAAATGACTTTTGGTTGCAGGAGTGAGTCTGGAGTAGAGTCAGGGACTGCTATCTAGTGTGTGATACGAAGCTGATGATGCCAAGCAGCAGAACTTACCCAGAGCAAGAACAATGTCTTAGCATGGATACTATTTTCTTCTAGTACAAATGTGACTGCTAGACTGTGCTTTGCTCGATCAAAGCCTCTGCAGATCTACCACCACCCACGTGACCTCTTAGTGAGTTTCTAGATATAGTCCTGCATTGGATGGCACTGTCTTGCATAGAAATTCTCTTGTTAATGAGAATGCTGAATGTGCTGCTTTGATAAAATGCTTTTATCAGCTGCTGTTCAGTGTTTTCAGCAGGAAATGCTGGAATGTAGTTTCTCTTCAGTATCATCTGTGGGCTTCATTGTGCAATTAAGCAAATGGTTAAATCTTCACCTAGCAGTAGAACCTGTTGTGTTCACTAAGTGTTTATAACCTTTTCCTAATATGCCTGGGCACAGAGAGAAATGCAGTAAGAGAAAATGATACCTGAAGGGAGGGGGTGGGAGTGGGTGGTGTGTGTGTGTCAAACTTTGTGTGCCTAAAGTTATCCTAAAATACCTGTACCATGAGATACAAAGCTGAAGCCATGACTGCCTTTTGAAAAGAAATGTTTTTACCTTCATGCTTTATAGTACTACAAGTCAGTGTTCTGATGTTGGTAAAGAAAATAGTGAAATGTGGTTTCTCGTGTGAGAAACTTAATGATTTGTTGCATAAAAGGGAAAAATGTTTTCTTGCTTGGCAGTACCCTCCATGGTGGGTAAGAGATATGAAAACATAGGGGAGACTACTGTCAGGTTTTAAACCTTTACACTTCAGCTAAACATCTTTATTACTTACTGTACTTTCTTGAGTTTCTGATTCTCCAGCTTCAGGGATCTGAGACTGATTTCTTTTAGACGAGATTAACTTCCTTGGTAGGTAGAGGGTGTACAGAGAGAGGGATGCTGGTGTTCTTAAAATTGCGAAGTTTGTTCTGGGGAAGCTTCACCTTCCCTCATCTTAGTGAATTGAGTTCCATTCATTGTGTTTTTGCAGTGCTGGGCTTTCCTTTATATATCCCCCTTGGAAGTATGACTCCCTCACAATATACAGCCTTGAAAAGTAAGATTTCTAGAGAACCACAACTTTTCCAGAAATTGTTATTTATTGTTATTCTGTGCCATCTTAATCAGCAGGAAACACAGTGCCTTAGGAGGAAAGTAAGATAACTGTGGAGAACTCTGCTGGTTCTCTGACCTACAGAGAAGGCGGCTCACAAATTAGCTGTGAAGTGTCACTGTATGCTTGGGAGCAGCTGTTGGATTGAGCTGAGTTTTCCTATCTGTCTTCCAAAGTTGCATATAATGCTGGAAAGTGTGGCTTATTCCCTAAGGGAGAAATGCAGGGGGGAAAAAATTGTATTCTTATCCTTCGTTCTAATTGGGACACTGTGTTGTCACTTTACTGCTTGCTGGAGAGAGGCCAAATCACATCTCTGTGGAACTGCTCTGTACCACAGCTTTTCTTGCTTTACCCACTAAGAATTTGTAGTGTGCCACCTGGCTGAGGCATCTCGTGGTGCTGCTTTCTGAGTTTTGTCCTGCAAAGTCAGATATGTGAAAAATCAGCAGAGTATTCTGAAGCTGCATGAGCTCATAGAATCAGAGAGCTGTCATCTGCTGCAACCTCCCTGCTCAGTCAAAGCCACCTAGAGCCAGTTGCCCAGGAGTTCCTGTGTGCTGACTGTGGTCTGGATCCTACTGAATTTAATGTTTAAGAGCTGACACGTGCAGAAATGCATATGCTGTGTGGGAATGTGCTTTAGTGTTACTGAAGAGAAAGGTTTCCTGGTCACCTTTCATCTGGAATTTGGTGCTACTGCAAGGCACTGTAAACATAACTCAGTGTTATGTTCCTTGTAGGTATTGTTAAAAAGCCTGGAGAGACCTTCAGAGGTGTGAACAGTTGGTTTCAACAGTAAGTGGAGACAATGTCCTGAGAGATAGAATTAGAGTGGAAAATGGGCTGTGTGCAGTACAGCTGTCCTGTAAATACTGCTGACTTTCTGAGCCCCAAGCAACTCTTAAACTTTGCATTCTACATATTAGAACCTGGTTTCTCTCAGAACACCTCTCTCTCTCTGTGTTGTACCTTTCTGAACTGGGCTTGAGCCACATAGGTTGAGATTCCCGAGCCTTTCATCACTTCAGAACAATAAAGCTTGACTTTTACCTCAGCAGGCAGCTGATCTGCAGGGAGGACCAGATGAGTATCAAGTATCTCTCATCACTTTGTAATAGATGTGTTATGCTGGAGAAGCACCAGCAGGGAGCTCCAGAGGATACATTCATCTGGGAAATTATACCCTCCCCCTGCCAAAGCCTGCATTTTTGGGTGAACCAAATGCTGGACTTTGCTATGCTCATACACACAGCTGTATGTAGAACCCCAAAATTCAGTGTATGAATTTCCAGTGCTCTATTTATGATGACAACTGGAACGAAAATAATGTGAAGTGAAAAGAAACAGTGAGGGTTTTTTCTGCAACTTTGCAGGTAAATTTAGGTCACTGCTGTTTGTATGCCTAAATTCTTTGCCTAAACCCCTTGCAAGAAAACTGTTACTTTCTTGCTCTGTTTCTGAGCTCCAACTGTTCTGTGAACTGGTTGTATTTCTTTTGTTTACATATTAAGCAAAGGACTGCTTCCACTTTACTGACTGTGGAGACATGGAATATACTGTATTAGAGCTGAAATTTAGCCTTTTTCCATTATTTAATCCTGTGACCTAGATTCATACATGTACAAGAAGGCCTAGAGCTGGATTCCCAGGTGGAATCACAATGACTGCCAGCAGCAGAGTTTGATGTATTTCCCTTTTCTTGCAGTGGATTCTGGCTGGAATGTGCTCAGTGCAGATCCTTTGGACAGGAGCATTCTGGCTGCGTATTTAGAC